GCTTTAAATATAATTACCAGCGAAGCTGTTAAGAATTAACAGCAAGAGTCACGTGCACCGCCGCCACCGGTGTCCGTAACCTATATCGCGCGAAATACAAAAAAACATGGTAAGTAAAAACACCGAGGACACACTTGAATTTGAAACCGGGTCCCTTGCGTGTCAGCCCATTATTCTTCCACTGAGGCATGCTACTGCTTGAAACTCTGTCAGAAACTACAGTATTAGGCATACTTTATGTTCGTAAAAGAATCGCGTTGATCAATAATAAGGCATTTTAGAACAGCTAAGGAACAACCAGACGTCACACAATGCGAATCGCGCAACAAGTAGGTTTCGAATGCTCCAAGTGAATATTGAAATTTGTTCTTGTTCGCATAGTCACTGTGGCGCATACCTAGTGTGGGTTATTGGCCGTGAATTGAGCGGTTTTGTAAAATATTGGGAAATTTCGAACAAGGCATCGTATATATTAGAAAAAATACAGACTACTAAGGTAATTATAGTGCTTGATCTAATGTACATATCTATTCCTAAATAAGAGCGAATGGAATAAAGCCCTATGCCTATTTTTATCACATATAATGTTGCAGACATCTTGGTATGTAGTACTGATTAGTTACATAACCATTTAGTTTCATAAATATAGTCTTTGACAGCCACGCATACCTTCTCATTGAAAAACTCAGAAATGGAGGCTCCAAAAGAAAAAAAAATAACAGGTACAGACAAATTCAATAACACGTAAATGTACTTGCAGAAAATTTTTTTCATGCTGTACCTAATCTTCTGGCATAATTTTTGGCGTCCGCAACAGCATACAAAATTGCACAAAATGTCTTGCAAGTGTGTTGGGGTTACTTCGCTTTCCCTAAGATTGGCAAAGGATGGATAGCGAAGTCCTGGTCAATCCCCCACAGTGGGTATGAGCCACAAGAGAAGGCGAACAAAAACAAGAACGCGAATGCCTGACAGATATGTTACTTTAAGGCATAGTGCGTACCTTGCAGGTGGGATTGCAGCATCTACAATAAGTGTGTTAAAAAGACTCTGAAAGGCCGCTCTTTCAGGTTGCGCTGTGAGTGCTGCGCGTTCCGCGCATGCCTGGCGGCTTTTTTCCCCTTACCCTGAACTCTAAGTGACAGCGACACACATATGGGCAAACATTGATAAACAATAACGCAGTTTCATGATATAGTATGCGTCTTCTCATCCTGTGTGGTATCTTGTTTCTGTGCCAGCGTTTGCACAAGTTTTCCTCATGGGCTCGCTGGTTAAGCAACTAATTGCTTTGATTTGTCAGTCGACATGATATTGTAACGCTGAACATGTGTGGACGTCTTTTGATTCATCTGGAGCGGTAGCATTCTGAATCAATAAAATATGAAAATGGTAGTATTGCGTCCATTAGGAGAACATTAGAGAGAATCGCAAGTCATAAGCTAACAAATCAGCTATTCAAGTTGTGAGCACATCTTCGCTGTGTATGAATTAACTATCCAGATCCACAAAGTGTGAGCCTCGTTGTGTTCCTGGCAAACCTTTACATTGTTGCGAAATTTCACTGTAGCTTGTATGTTGCACGAGTGGCATCGTAGAATAATGCATCTCGCTGCAACCAGCGATTCTTACACTATAGGTATCACCTAACCTTCATTCACGCGTAAGATTTCCAAGAGATCAATAGATTGATATGTTGGGTTTAACGTCCTAAAACCACCATATGTTTATGAGAGACGCCGTAGTGGAGGGCTCCAGAAATTGCGACCACCTGGGGTTCTTTAATGTGCACCAAAATCTGAGCACACAGGCCTACAACATTTCCACCTCCATTGGAAATGCAGCCGCCGCAGCCGGGATTCGATCCCGCAACCTGCGGGTCAGAAGCCGGGTACCTTAGCCGCTGGACCACCACGGTGGGGCGCTTCCCAAGAGACAACGGCTGCACTTGCCTGCCCCTGTGAACTGGAAACAAACTAAACAAAATATTCAGGTGCCCTTATCTTATTGGGAAAAGGGGGCCAAACAAGGCTTGGCATGGTTGTGCCTTACACACTGCTTGTATCAATAGAATAACATATAGATGGGCAAGTTGGTTGGTTCATTGTCTTATGTGGAAATTCATGAGAAAGAATGTAGTAATTCATGAGAAAGAGTTCGTCTTGGTGTAGCATACACCAGACGTCACGCACATATCATCGGTCGCAGTGACAGCGGTCCTAATTGTGAACACTGTGATCTGCCAGAAACACTTGAGCACATATTTTGTGTCTGCCCAGCATACGCACGTGAACGACAAACACTGATTTCTTCTACTGAACTATATCGCAGTAGGTCATTAACTGATGAGACCATGTTGGGCCCTTGGCCAGACACCAACAGTGCAACTGCGGTCACAAGAGCAGTTATTACCTTTTTAGAAACAACTGGACTATGTGCGCGGCTATAAGATGTGTCTCAGCTAGAAAGAACACTACATACTCACCTCTCTATCTCACCATCGTCATCCATTAATCTTTCTTTTCCCCTTTCCCTTCCCCCAGTTTAGAGTAGCAGGCTAGAGCAAGCTATCGCTCAGGCCGACATCTCTGCCTTTCTGTAAATAAACTTACCTCCTCCTCCTCCATGAGAAAGAAAAAAACACTGCTTATTTTTGATCTTCTATCAGAGGACATGACGTAGTGCCTTATAAAGATGAAAAACTACGGACAGAATGAATACAAAAGGACAGAGAAGAACATTAGATAGGCCGTTTTTTTTTTGTTGCAGATGACGTTCTCGGAAGCAGGAGAGGCGGTTGGTTTGAAGTTTATTGTAACACCAGTGACATGGTTCATAAGTACTACAGTAGCAGGTCTCGAAAAATAAACTGGCAACTTAATTTAAAAACATGAAAAGTAGCAAATAGAGAAATCAAAAAATTAATACATAAAACAAATCGACGCGAACAGGTGTGAGCATAGTTCCAGTCTTGTCTGTTTGTGAGGCCACCCTTATAATCAATTTAGTGCGTACACTGTCCCTTCCCCCTGGCAGTTTTTTTTTTTCAAGTTCAGCCTAACGCTCGCTTGGTTCATTTCCTCTTTCTCACCTCGTTCCCACAGAACAAAAAATTATGATCGCCCAAGAAGATAGGCTCTGTCTGGCTAAGCAGGTGTCATCCACACTGCAAACTACGTGTGTGTGTGTGAGGGGGGAATGGAACGTATGGCTGGAAGAAGGCATGATGATAAAAGAGAGGGCTGCCGCGAAGGCTGCAAGTACGCTTCGTTGGGAAAGGACACTTTTTCTTACCTTGCTGTATTATCTCCGGGCATTCTCCTGACCTTCCGGTAAGCTGGCTATGTGCGCCAACTGCGGGTTAGCATGGTTTGTTGTGTGACAGTGACATTGACAAGTACTAGCTTTATTGACATATTCCGAGGAAAATAATTAAGGTGATGAGGCAGCTCCCAATTACAATTGGTGCGAGAAGAAATGCGGCGAAACTCACAAGTCTCACAAGTTGTGTACTGCAAACTTCGCTTGAAAACTAGCGATGTGGTTTGACCAGTACTCCTGTCGCAACTCTTCTGGTGCATTTTGTGAAATAAGTTAGGAAAGCAAACATAAAATTGGCGTGAAACCGTGGGTGCGCCATGGGACAGAAGTTTACGTACTCACAGTTGGCTTGTATTTCTGTTACCAGTTATGACACCACGGTGCCGTTTTCCCGTCCATCTAGCTATTACGTTTCTAAATCTGACATTTCTCGCTAGCACGTATAGTTTCGCTAGTAGCCACTTTTGTGCGAGGTTTGCGTTTTATATTAGTGCCTACACAGATTGAACATTTTCTAGTCAACCTGAAAATGTTTTGCCTATTCATATACGCAGCACCAAAGTATGACATGTTTCTAAACAGGTGAGTAATTTTTCCAGTTTTGATTGAAAAATACGTAAACTGATTGCGCCCCATGGCGCTCGATCTTTTCAAAGAAATTGCCGTTACAGCATGAAGCAGAAGGCGACAAGATCACTGACGCTGTCTAACGCTGGTGAGAACACCGACCAAACGATAAAACATGTAGTGGTATGCAACCATCGTTTATGGGTTGCATAAATAACCGTTTTTCTTACTCTCATACCACTTTATTTTTCAACAGACATGTCGCCAGCCAACCTGTCTGTCATCTGTAGGACATAAGTATATATTGGCACAGTTATTCCGCAGCCGGTGTATCTCCCCACCATCCGCCCTTGTGGTTCTACGCTTTCAGCTCTCACTCTACCTTCGATTTCGATTACGCCCGAGCCTTTGCAAAGAGTATCGTGTTTTGAGCTCTATGGAGAAGACGCAACCAATGATCAACTTGCTGTGGTTAACGAGAAGTCGTTCCTATACCCTTTCCACGAATAAATGCAAGGCCCAAAACGTTCGCACGTCGCCGTCATGCTATACTCCGGCGATGAATTCAGAGGCAGATACATTTTGCCGCGACTGAGCACCACGTCAACCTCGTTCTTCTTACCGGTGAGCTTGTCTCCGTATGTCAGTCTAAATATTTGACAGAATTAAACGAAAAAAAAATTTGGAGCAGTAACTTCAGAAACCATAAAATTTTCCCAAACCAAACCACTCAAGGGTGTTAGTGCTTAATTGAGGCTAATGGCACACTGCTGATATTTTCTATATGGAGCATGGAACTACGTTCTTTTTAAAAGTGTAATGAAAATAAGTGTGTGACTCTGTATTTAGGAGGTGTGAACAAAAAAATAAATTCTACTTTGTGTCCGTAAACTTGCGACCTTTTTTTTTCTTTAGCGCATAAGTCAAGGATATTACTTCAAGCTCCTATCGACTGCTATAGGAGCTGCCGTATGCAGATAAACTCTACGAAAAAGAAAAAAAAAGTGTTTGCTCGAAGCTCTCCAGGATATGATACTTCCCGGCAGTTACATCTTCCGCGTCGACTTCGGCATATCTACCAATTTCCGTTCATAACTACTGCACCTGCGTGCCGCTACGTATAAATACAGTCGGTGAAGCACGGGTGTGTTTCACTCCGGTTTGAGACAACCAGAAAAGTCGACTACAGTCACAAAGGTAAGGGCTGTCTTACTGTACAGGAAGAGAGGCTTAGTGCAGATGGCTCAGGGTTGAAATTAAGCCAATAAAAGGCTCTTAACACAATACGAGATGTATCGTTTTAGGCCGTCGCTTTTTAGTTGATCGTGTCGCTGCTATGGATATAGTCACAAAAATTTTAAAAATGCACACATCCGTGAGTAACTAAAATGTGAAATTATTTTGTGTTGCAGTGCGATGAACTGTGCTTTTGTATTCAGCCGCTCTCTGGAATATGCAGTGGTTTCGCAAAGAAAAAAGTTCACCTTCCCGTCCTAGGGATCCGTATGATGCGGAAGTGAATCATTTCCTCATGGTAGTATAGTTTATTTTTTATAGTAAATAGATGTATAGGATCATGTACAATGTCTATATATATTTGGAAGTTAGAAAAGCATTTACGAGAATGCACCCACGTTGACTCCCATTCTGAATGTAGGTTTATGCGACTCTGAGGTCATGCAAATCAACGCAAGTTTTTTTTCCTTCTCTCTGCCACCTGTTACCGCGCCTTTCCGACGTGAAAAATGTGACAAAACTGATGTCAGTAAAATCTTGGGACAACCGGGCATAATACATTTTCATAAAAAAATTCACATCAAATATTAGCAGCGATGACCATCTCCTCGTGCTTGTTAATTTTGTGGACTTGAAAGATGACTTTACCTTTGAATTAGTCAATCAATATTTCCGCTTTCCTTTTTTTTAGCACCAGAGTTTTTCCTGTTCTGAACCCTCTTAGAAATATCTGTTTATGAAATCTTTTTATATTATTTTGGTGACTTTGTGCCAAAAAAGTGGGAGTGGGCGAATTGTACATTCACTTTCATGACCTCTTTGAACTGTGCAATTATTGTTTTTGCTTTATTTATTAGTTTATATGATATACACTTTGAGGCAGCGAAACTTTATAGGAATTCCAATAAAGGCCCAGTGGTACCGCGTTTTCACCCTAAACGTGTCCTTTAAGCTTTTTAGAAATCTCATATAATTGATAAGCCAACATGTTTATCAACATTTGAAGCATTACGAAAGCTTACCGAGTACTTGTTGTCGCTGTAAAGCAAAATGTACTCGCGTGAATGAACTTACGCATGAAATACACGAGGGGCTCATTAAAGTATTACGGATGGAAAAAGCAAAGTCCACGAGCATCCAGGTTTGAAGGCGCAAAGTACTGTGTAGGCACCGATGCATCGAGAAATACTGGACATAAAGAATAATATATAACAGAATTCTACACCAACTTTGCGTTATAAGAAAGTCGTGGTAAAAAAAAACAAGATTAAGAGCTCAGATAGAGAAAAAGACAACCCCCGTTTGCATAGGACAAAGCCACAAGGAGATCCGTATGAATTTTTCAGAAAGAAAAGCCTCTTAGTTGTCGAAAAATTTCTCCTAGTCTGGCGTTGGAACCCGGGACTAATGCCTTTCCGTGGCAGTCCCGGGTTCGAACCGCGGACCAAGACAATTGTTTTAGCAACTAAGAGGCTTTTCTTTCTGAGAAATGCCTACGGATTTTCTTTTGGCTTCGTGCTACAAACGGGTGGTCGTGTTGTTTCCTTTCTTAACCCTTCCGCCACGTTGCAGGTTTCCGCAGAACTCATTTACAAGATTGAGAGTTGCCGCTATTTCTGATGAAAATTTGGGTTATTGCAGTGGGTTGCAAGTGTCACGCATATAGGACATCAATTGTTTAAATGATATATCTTTCCTCTCAGGTATACCTCCGTATTATATACCTAATTAGCCCATCCTCCTGGAAGATAATGCAGGCGTTGTACCCCTTAGGTGACTGATGTTCGTCTGATCCGCCATTCTATTCAATTTTGTCTTTTGTGTATTTTAAACATGCAAATAATAATAATAATATTATAACAAATAAATAGAAGCTTTCCTCTAGTAGCATTAATATTATTCATAATCCTTCAGCCGTTGATTAAATTCACGTACGTGCACTGTAACAACCAAGAAGCCTTAATGCTGGCGCCCGCAAAAATAAAGCAATAAAAATAAACAAAACAATACAGAAGCTCTTCAGAATAATCAAATAATAAGATTGAAAATGCACAGACAAAAAAAATTAGTGCGAAATGGGAAGTATAAAAGAAAGACGAGAAATATAAAATGGAAGTAAAAAATAAAGGGCAATATACAGACCTATGAAGAAACCTTCCTGAAAAACGAAGAAGGAAACAATCTGTACATTGCCAAAACTATGTTAAGACAGTGCAGAACTGTAAGAAAAACACAGACAGCAGACTGTGAAAAACGTCCATATCATAAAAAAAGACATTACACAGACTTTGCATTATTTGAACAGTGGAGTGTTGAAAGAATTTGGCAGGCACATAAAATGCTCAATCATTTCTGGTTAACGTGCACGGAAACCAAAAATTTACACAACTGAAAAGTGGGCAAGATATCATACTGTCACTAGTTTGTGAAAAGTAGAAGGTCAGCGCAATTTTGTTGGCAGTGAAGTGATAACATTGACAATAATCTGGCAGTGTTAAAATGAGATCCCGAGTCATTTCCAGCGAAACGATTATTTCAAATGCATGTTCATTTTTTTCTCGACTTGCTCAATGGCGTCACTGCCAGCTTCAGCAATCCCATTCCACATCACAGATGTATATTCAAGTTGAGGAAGACACACTGCAGTGTAAAATTTGCGGAAGGCTGTAGAGAAACTGAATTCTCGAGAAATTCTGCAAACACAGCTGCGTGAGCCAAGGCTTCACATGATAGCACGTTTAGTGTGAGCAGAAATATTTAGCATGCTGCAAAAAGGACACCAAGATCACCTAACTCATAAACCTGACTTAACTACATGGTTTTTGCTCAGTACAGCCATCGGCACCTTTAACACGAACACTTCGATGCGTGACCAGGGCTAGTTTGATTGATAGCAGCCGCGAAGGGCTGGGCGCTTTTGCCGAGATAATACCTTGGTAGGCTTGGATAGTATGTAGGCATGTATGGTTAGCATCTTGGCAACATAACCCAAATGTACGTGGTGTCAGCAACCAAACTGCTGCAGGACACACGGCGGGGCGTTCGTGTTAAAGGTGCTGACGGCTGTGCATAAATGACACTATACTTTGTGATATATCCTCATGAATTTGGTCTTTGAGGTATTCAGACAAGGGTTGTTGTTGTCACAACATTAGTAGAAAGAACACAAATCTGACTGCAGCAAGGAACAGTCGTCCATTGAATAAATTTTCCTAAATATCTTGATGCAATAAAAAAAAAACAAAAATACGAAATCGCAAAAGAAACATCGTGAACCCAAAATAAAATTAAGCTTGGGCTAATACTGACCGTTAAAGAACTGCACTAGTCACTGTGTACAAAAAAGACGTTTGGCCAGTTACAGCAACATAACATGATCTGATAATCAGATGAGTGGGCAATAATAATAATAATAATAATAATAATAATAATAATAATAATAATAATAATAATAGATACCGTGCCAGAATGCACCTGAAACTAGCCAGAACTTTCAGCCAATGATTGTACAAACTGAAGCAGAAATTTCCTCGAGAGAAATTTCATGATAGTTTCTGAGCAATATTATGTATTCAGCAGTATATGACAAACTTAAGACAAAATAAGCCGTCCATATTTGGTATGATACGGCTTTTTCCGCTGCATCAGCGCTTCTGTACTTGCTTTTCACCTCAATTGTACAGTGTGGTACCCGCCTCAATGGTGTAATAACCATTGTACTCCTTAGTGCTCCAATGTTGCGCTATCGATTTCCAACCGTGGCAGTCACATTTTGATAGAGGCGAATAGAAGATTTTCATTATTATAAGGCTAGCTTTCCTGCGATGCAGTTAGCCCATGTAATGGCGGCACCCCAAACAATAAAACAGTGTTGAAGCCCACTTTATTTCCGCTATGATCCTGGAAACGTAATAAGTCTCGACATAACGTGCACAGTAGACAAGCCCCCGCCCGTGCAACTAGGATCTCGTTTCCAGTTGAAGGACGAGAGGAATCAACATTAGACGAGAGAGTGGACAGCACATGGAACTGCGCATGCGGATTATTAAATGGCCCTTTTGCCAGAGGCCCATGTCCTTATATTTCAGGTCACTCTACGGAGAAACGAATGATCTAAATTGGCGGAACCCTCTACTACAGCACTCATATTCATATCTCGGTTTTGGTACGTGTAACCGTTACCGTTATTCGTACTGTATGAAGTGGCTTCTGCATGCCGTGGCTGTACTGTGGAAGTTTGCTTCTGCGCGACTGAATGGTGTGGTTATAACTGTGCTGGCTGTATGAGTTTTAGTTTGTTGCGTCTACTAAATGGTGTGTTTATTCTTTGTGGTGACTGGAACGTACTATCTTCGCTTTGCAGAAATTTGCACAAACTGAGAAATATAGTTACTTGTTGCAGTAACTGTGGGGGCGTACGTAGTTTAAGTGAGCAACGACTTTCTTTTGTTACACTGTGACGCTAATACAGACGTGTACACGTGCCCATGCACACGCATAAAACGACGTAGAGGAAGAATGCGTACGCATTACACCTGTGTAAATACGGCCCTCAACACACACACACACTATATATATATATATATATATATATATATATATATATATATATATATATATAAATATATATATATATATATATATATATATATATATATATATATAATGACCAGAATCAAGGATATCTAACAGACAATAAGACAAGGAAAGAATAGGAGAAGATAGTAGACCTAATTGACCTGTAAATGTGGAGAAAGGAAAATAAATTGATTGATATGTGGGGTTTAACGTCCCAAAACCAACATATGATTATGAGAAACGCCGTAGTGGAGGGCTCCGGAAATTTAGAGCCCCTGGGGTTCTTTAACGTGGACCCAAATTTGAGCACATGGGCCTACAATAATTCCGCCTCCATCGGAAATGCGGCCGCCGCAGCCGGGATATAAACCCGCGACCTGCGG